AAGTGGTGAATAGGGTCCTTAGGAAACAAAGAGATAGCTGCAACTCCAGTTTGCCCAGACAAAATTAATTAGCACACCCTGAGGCCCTAAGGTCTGTTGACCCTAATAGCAGACCATCCAGCCTCCAAAGGGTCACATACTCAATGGACAGAAGGTCCCACCCCCTCCCTAAACTTGTGGGTTTGCCTTTAAAAATACCTGTGCTCGGGGGAGGGGGCTTCTCTCTAGCCTGCATGCTGAGGGAGTCCATTTATGCAAATGATTCCTGTTCATTAAAGCCTCTTGTGTGTTGCAGCAACTTGACTGGACATTGAGTTCTTGGGGATACCGAACGAAACTGGGAGACTCCTCATTCTGAGAGTCTTGCAAGATAAGCCCTGCACTTTCCCATCATACCAAGACTAGACAACAGCTAGCTCTCCCAGAACTTGCTACTATCTTAATTTTCTCAGGGTCCCCTAAAGTTGTCATTGCCCAGGCAGCTGAAAGTAACTCTAAGGACATGACACTCACATTCCCAAGAGGTGGGCTGGGTGGTTTTTTGTTATTCAATGGATATGAATGTTTGTCATTGTATAGGGATGTTAGTTGCAAGTTGTTATTGGCCATGGTCAGGGAGGAAACTAAGCAAAGGAGGTTAGATTCAGGGATCTTTCTCTGAAAAGATTTTAAAAAAAGGGGGGGAGATATAGCAATGATAGGATAAGCATGTAGAAGATTGAATCTAATTTTAAACTAAAAAGCAGCTATTAATCTCATATTTTACATTGGTATAGATTTTTGTATATTGATACAAATTTAAGGTTATTATTGTTATACTAGATATATGTTTCTACTCTTGTTTAAGGTACTGTATCCATGCAGCTCATTTAAAATTGTAACATAAAGTTTAGTCCTTGAAAGTGATTATTATAAACTATTTAGGATAATTAAAAAATGAAGGTTAGAGCTGGGCATTGGTGGTGCATCCCTGTAATCCCAACACTCAGGAGGCTGAGGCAGGTAGAACTCTGAGTTCCAGGCCAGCCTGGTCTACGGAGCTAGTTCTAGGACAGGCTCCAAAGCAATGAAGATATACCCTGTCTCAAAAAACAAACAAAAAAAGTGCAGCTTAGAAGTTGAAATCATCTATAACAATCAAACTTGTAGTAAGATAGGCATCTTTTCAAGGTTAAACAGAAAGATGGTCTTCAAATACTCAGACATATATACAATATGAGATTTAAGAGGTTTTAATAACACAAAAGCTTTTCATGACAGTCAGACATGTCTGTTCCTGGCAGCACCAATTTACTTCAGAGAAAATGGCATTTGGAGACCCTCCATGTGGAGTTTGGTTTCTGTGCAGCAAAACTATCCAGGGTAAGAAATTGCCCTTGTCTTGACTGCTGACAGTATGCTGGGCAAATTGGACAAGCAGGGCACAAAAGAAGGTGACTGATGAACTTTGCCAAGGTAAGATAGGACAGTACTTCAAAATTCCTGCTTCACATAAAAGTCTGTTAGAAATGCTAGGTCTGTAGGCTGCAGATGCATGCCCCAACATTGAACAGTAAATGTGAGTGACTGTCCAGGCAGCCAGATGTCTGTCATTTCTATAACTTTGGAAGTTGTGTGTTCTGCACTTCCTGTCTACCCAGGTAATTTTATGTCATTCTCTGGCCTCTGATGGGGTTGAAGACCTGACAATTATACTATTTTCTTTGTTGCCAAATTCAGAAAAGAAACTTACAAAAGAAACGGAAAGTTTATAAGGTTGTGAGATATAAAAACTAAAGGTGTTCATCTAAGAAAATGTTTTAAGGTCTAAAAATATAATCTTAGGATAGTAATACAAATTATGACAAAGTGATTTAACTATAAAACTTTGGACTCATCAAGATAGCATACAAAATAGAGTAAATTCTCCAAATTTACTAAATAAAAATGGACTGGACATTGTGAATATAATTCTTACCTGATATTTGTTTTTGTTGTATATAGTTTTATCATGTCAGTTTAAACCTTCCATTTTTATTTAGACAATACCTGTAATTGTTTTTTGTTTTGTTTTATACACAGGGTTTCTTTGTGTATTTCTGGTTGTCCTGGAACTCACTCTGTAGACCAGCCTGGCCTCGAACTCACAGAGATCCACCAACCTCTGCCTCCCTGAGTGATGGGATTGAAGGCATGCACCACCACCACCCAGCTTGGTAATTGTTCTCATTATATAGTTTTACTGTGTTAGAGTTAAAAACTTTCCTTCCTGTTTGGACAAAAGGGGGAATGTTGCGGGACCTGAATACAGATTCTGGGAGGTTCACCATGTTGTCATTTATTTCCTCTACAAACTCGAAATATCTCAAACTCTAAGTATCTCTGTGACTGCAAATGAAATTATCCTTGAATTAAGAGACAGAACAACAATTAGGTGACTGGAACTAGCCATAGAGGTTTTGGAGGACCAAGGATATGATATGATAGAGAGGCACAGGAAAGATGAGGGAATGGCTTAGAAAGATTCATGGGCCTTGGCTGGGTGTTGGAGCACGCCTTTAATCCCAGCACTCAGGAGGCAGCGGCAGAGAGATGTCTTTGAGTTCAAGGCCAGCCTGGTCTACAAATGGAATTCAAGGAAAGGCTCCAAAGAAACACAGAGAAAACCTGTCTCAAAAAACCAAAAACCAAAAAGAAAACAAACAAAAAAGATTTGTGGGCCTTTCAATGTGGGAGGCATGGAGAGAAGTTCAGATGTCTGTTACTGCATTGCTCTTTTCATCTATCAGGATTTTACTCCTATATCTGACTCCCATGTGCTTAATAATAGAACAATTTAGATAAAACTGGGCATAGCTATGTCACCTGCTTAGGAGCAGATTTCCTCCACCCCAGATGGAGACAGTGACAGCAGACCAATAAAAATATCCATCTGTGGTCAGCTCGGTGAGCCCTGAATACACTGGTCACCTACAGGATCCTGGGGGAGTAGGGGATAACCACTGAGCTGACCACTCCAGTGTGCATGAAACCCACACAGCTGCATCATTGCAGTCCTCTGTATGGCTCCCAGCAGCTCCACTCGGTAGTCTCCTCTCCCCTCTGAACGGCAACAGGTGTGACCCGGAGAGGAAAGTGCTACATTGTGTCAGCTCCGTGAACCTGTAGCTTCTGTGTTTCATGAGCCTCACCAGCCTCCTCCTGGCTCCAGCAGGGATGTTCCTTCAGTCTAGAGGAATTCACACCATCACCTCCCTCTTCAACAGAAGCTCCCTTTATTAATACAACCTCAGGCCAAGTGCTGGTGTGTCCAGTGCAGCACCAGGCCCCCTCACAGTGAGGTCAGGGTCACCTGAGCTTTCCACTCAGCAAAGCCCTCCCTCCCTCTCCCCACCTGCCTTCCTGTCTTTGACCCATGGCCCTATTCATGTTTTTATTCACTTATCAAACATTTATTGGGTGGGAATATTTGCAGAGTTCCTGGTAGGGGAAGTCATCATCTCTCACAAGACAAAGACGGCTGCATCATGACAGAGATTCCTTGGTCATCAGTCATCTCTGCTAAGTCTCCTGGAGCTCCTGACTCAAAGTCACAACGCTACAGGAGAAACCACAGGGGCCAGAACCTAGAGCAGGGGATGGAGTAATTTCCAACTCCAGCATCCCCACAATCTATTTTTTTAAAAGATTCATTGATTTTAGTCTATCAGTGTTTTTCTTGCCTGTATGTATATGCACCAGGTGCCTATCTGGTGCCCACAGGGATATTGAAGCCACGGAAAAGGAATTATGGAGTCACCACTGGAGGCAGCAGCAGCATTTCCAGAGCCAGGGAGGGAGGGGAACCTTGGGCAGAACACAGACCCAACAGGGCAGATCTGAGATGAGACCCTGTGGATCCTTCCTCTCTGCCATCCTACAACTCTGATTAAATTATAAATGAAGGGAAAGGAGAGAACCTCTAGGGAGGGCCCTGGAATGAGGTAGGCGTTCTGGAGACTGAAGTTCATGTTCTCAGGCCACAGTCTCCTGAGTGCACGGGCCTAGCTGGGCCTTGAGGGGACAACCATGGAAAAGCACATTTTATTTAATACTGTCACTCAGGGAGCACAAGGGATAAGGAGGCAGGCTCCACCCACAGAGCAAGAATAGGTCTATTGGTGCCCAAAAAGATGGCTGCACTCCATTTTGGCTCAAGGGCAGAGAGTTCAAAACTGTCCTAGGCAAGTCATGAGACCAAAAGGTCAAAGGTCTGGCTACAGGAGGCTCTTTGCCTGTCCTATTCTAAATAACAACAGAACTGACCTGAGGTGTGGCTACTGCTGATACTCAATGCTAGGGAACAAGAAGTTGAATCTAAGGTGTTGTTACTGAACCCTTAGAGAAATGAGGAAGAAAAGTCTGTTCTGTATACATGATACCATGTTCCCCTTTTTGGTTATGGTATAGAAGAGTGGTTCAAAATAAACTCATGGCATTTCTTATTAACTGAATTTGCCCTCCTGATTTTACTCTGCATCTCTGTCTTTTATCATGTATAGCTAGCCTTTCCCTCATCCACACACCCCCATCCAGGTAGGAACTTTGGGGCTGATTCGCTGGTTCCGATTGCAGCCCCACAAAGGCAGCTTCCAACACAGGCCTAGTCCTCCATACACACTAAAAAGACAACAATAAACAGGGATGAGTACATGAAGAGCTACAGCCAGGACAGTGCCTGGGCTGACCTGCCCCTGCTGTCCTGGCTGCTCAATCCTGGGGCAGGACAAAATTCTGGCCATCCCTGTGTCCCTGTGACCACAGATCTCAGCATGTGGTTCTAAGGGATGAAGAGAACAGAGCCAGCAGGTGACAGAGCTGAGGAGAGACCATGCCACAGCCAGCAATGGACTGAGCTCCTCCTGGACACAGCCCTGTTCTCACTCAGCTCCACAGCCTCACCAGTCCCTCCAGATGCACAGAGCACAATGAACACAGACTCTGGGAGGTTCTCCACGCTGCCATTGATTTCCTCTACAAACTCCAACCATCTCAATAATTTATTTAACAGCCAATCAACCTGTCAGATCAAGGATGTGAACAATCAAGTTGAAACTGAGATTCTTATTTTCAGTGGAAATCAGGGAATGCAGCTCATGGCAGCATGGCGGTGACAGGATGGAGATGTCCCCTCCTCTGTGCTGGAGCAGGAGGGTTGATTATGGAAGGGATCACAGGCAGTTCAGGGACAGGGTCCTGGTGTGCAGGCTGGGCTGGGCTCCCAGTTCTCCACATGGAGCCCATAGGATCACAGGGAACATCAGACACTGTTGCTGAGTGAACTGAGGATTCCTGGATGTCACAGGAGACGCCTGAACACATTGTCTGTCACTCCGTCCATGCCAGGCAGCTGTCTTCATGCTACAGAACAAGAGTCAGGAACAATCACTGTGAAGACAACATCCCAACAACCCAGCACTCACTCACAGGTGATTCTGGGAGTCCCCAAAACCCAATCTCGTCCACTTTGCCCCCCAATCCCAAATCAGGTCCCAGAGTGTCACCTTAACAGTCTGGGAGAGACACATCCGAGCTCTGGGAATTGTCCCTGCCTAGGGTTTAAACATTCATAGGAAAATAAAAATAAAAACAGGGCCCGCAGAAGATTTTGCTGGAGGAGCTATTATGGATTTCCAGAGCCCCCCAATACTCCAGCTTGACCCCACAGGCCTCAGAGACAGTCCTATTCCCCACACTTACCTGGAGCTGGAGCATAGTTCCCTCCTTTTCCACCTGTGAGAAGAAAAGCTGTGAGAGACCAGGGAGGAGCCTGACCCTAGGAATTTTCCAGAATCAACAGCAGACCCAGTTCAGGGACAGGAGCAGTGGGGGTGTGGATGTGTTTCCATGAGACAGAGCACAATTCTAAAAGGGGCTGAGAGAGAACTCAGACCCTGCCCCTTCCTACCTGCATTTCTCCTCCTCTTCCTCACCACAGCCACCACAGCTCCAATGATGGTCAGAGCTCCAAGGAGAACCAGGACAGCAATGACTGCCATGATGGGGACAGTGGACTGAGGAGGCTCTGGGAAGGGAAGGACAGGAAGGGGAGGTGAGGGTCATGACCACAGCTCTCAGCCCTGACCCTGCTCAGGCTCTGCAGAAGTTTCCATCTGTTCCTGACCCCAGCTCTGTACCCCCTCCCTCCTTACCCCATCTCAGGGTGAGGGGCTCAGGCAGCCCCTCATGTTGCACATGGCATGTGTACTTCTGTTCCTCCCCAGAAGGCACCACCACAGCTGCCCACTTCTGGAAGGTTCCATCCCCAGAAGGTCTGGTCTCCACCAGCTCCATGTCCTGAGTCTGTTCTTCCTCCTCCCTCTGCCAGGTCAGGGTGATGTCAGCAGGGTAGAAGCCCAGGGCCCAGCACCTCAGGGTGACATCACCCTTAGGTCCAGGATGACGGGTCACATGTGCCTTTGGGGGGTCTGTGTGGAAGATTTAAGAAATCCCACAACAACAAGATAAACTGAAATCTGCAAAGACATGTTAAATCAATGATGACACTGTACTACTATGTGTCTGAACACTTCTGACTGTCATCACACAGGTGACCTGTAGGTGGAGCTGGTACCCTCATCACTGATCTGCACATTTTCCTGGGGGAGCCAGAAGCTAAGAGGGAATCACATGAACCAGTGGGTCCACATGCTCTTCTTGATGTGGTGTTTATAGCATAAGCTATGTGGTAAAAGAATGGAAGAAGGGATAAAAAATAATTTATATATATATAATAAGAAATTGGGGACACAGGCTACATAAAGGCTGCCCCTAACCCTCTTCTGCCATCATTGGAGGAAAAAAAACCACTGTGTCTATCTTGCTGACCAGCATAACTGTCTGTCCAAGTGAACAGCTACCACCAAAGTGTGCAGCAGGAATGGGGTGAACCTCTGACACTCAGCCAAAAGAAATGACTCCCCAATCCTGCCTCTGGGGCTCAGACACAAGCTGTCGTCACCCAGGATCCCTGGAAGTGTGCTGTGTCCCAGTGCAGCACTCACTGGGACACAGCTGTGCTCACAGGGGTGTGTGGATTTTCTCTGTCACTGCAGTCCTGGAGGTGCATTAGACCCTGTCTGAGGAAGTTCACCTCCTAATTCACTGGGGGCAACACTGTAACTTGTTAGGGCTGAGGGAGGGCAGTGGGGGTTTGAATGGTTAATTCTAGCAGAAAATAGTCTAAACTTATGGGAATGTTTTCTTTGAAGGGATAGTGACTTGTATAGTTATGTGGATTAGCAGTCCCCCATGACAGCAGTGGTGACTGGTACAGAGAATAATAAAAAGGGAGTTTGAAAAAGTACCACCCCAGGGAGGAAGAAAAACTGATTAAAGCACTAACAATGTTAAAAAAAAAAAAAAAGAAAGAAAAGAAAAGAAAAGAAAGAAAGAAGAAAGAAAAAAGAAAAGAAACAAAGATTAAAGGAAAAAATCTCATAATTTAGAGTTTTTTTCAGGGCACCCCATAACTGCTCATGTACTGGGGCGAGGGAGGGAGGCAAACCTCACACACAGTCATCTGAGAGAATGTGTCCTTTGGAAAGTTCTAGAAATTGGGGAACCACCCTCAGGTAGGGGCGTCATTGTTCTCTGTCAGGTATAGGAGACTTCCGGTCCTGGTGTGTAAGGCTGACACACTCAGACACCCGGTGTGAACAGAGAACCCGGCCTGAGAGAGGCCATGGCTGACAGCGGGCTGCAGACTGAAGGAGCCACTGCTGGTGATGTGGGCATCTTCTCCCCTTCCCTGCTGAGACTGTCCAGGGAGAAGGCTGAGCCCTGGGAGATCAGTGCAGTCCCTGCCATGCTGGATCAGGGCCCCAGGGCCACTGTCTCCCCTCAGAGACAGGGGCATGGCCCCAGCTGAGGGGTCTCTTCTTCCCCAGGACTGAGCCCAGCCCGAGGGCAGAGGGAGGAGTCGCCCGCGGCCCCGCACCTGTGCGCAGCAGCGTGTCATTCCCGTTCTCCAGGTATCTGCGGAGCCACTGCACGCACGTGCCCTGCAGGTAGGCCCTGTATCTGTCCGCAGCACCAGCCTGCTCCCACTTGTTCCGGGTGATCTGCGCCGCGGCGTCCGCCGCCGTCCACGTCTCCAGGTCCTCGTTCAGGGAGATGTAATCCTGGCCGTCGTAGGCGTCCTGTCTGTACCCGCGGAGGAGGCGCCCGTCGGGCCCCACGTGACAGCCGTACATCCACTGGATGGTGTGAGAGCCTGCGGGGACCCCGCGGTCAGCCCCGCCCCGGGGTCGCCTGTGTCCTGCTGCCCCGCCCTCCCGCCGTCAGCCCCGCCCCGCGGCCCCGCCCACCGAGGATCCTCTAAACTGAAAGGGAAACCGGGTCCCGGTCCCCGTCTCCTCCTCCCGGGTCTCGGACTTGAGAGCCGGGGCGACTCCGGCCCACACGTAGGGACGTGGAGGTCGTGACCTCCGACCCGGGGTCACTCACCGCCCGCGCTCTGGTTGTAGTAGCGGAGCAGGGTCTTCAGGTTCACTCGGAAAGTCTGCTCGTTGTTCTTGGCGTTCCGTGTGTTCCTCTCCCAATACTCCGGCCCCTCCTGCTTCACCCACGCCGCCCGCGGCTCCATCCTCGGATTCTCCGCGTCGCTGTCGAAGCGCACGAACTGCGTGTCGTCCACGTAGCCGACTTCCATGTACCGGGGCTCCCCGAGACCGGGCCCGGACACGATGGTGGAGAAATACCGCAGCGAGTGCGAGCCTGGGGGCGGCGCGCGGTGAGACCCCGACCTCCTCCCGGGACCCGGCAGGTGCGCGGGCCGGGAGGGGAGCGGGGCGCGGGGCTCGGGACGCGGGTGGGGAAGGGGCGGGAGGGTCTGGCCGGGCGATGCGGGGACGAGGCTTCCCCGAGGCCGCCCCCGCCCTCCCCGCAGAGGCCGTTTCCCTCCCGGCCCCGCACTCACCCGCGCGGGTCTGGGTCGGGGCCAGGGCGGCCGCCAGCAGCAGGAGCAGCGTGCGCGGTGCCATCGCCCCCATCTCTGATCTGGGCTTCCGCGGTCTGCGTGGACTTTATAACCCGTGCCCGCGGCGACGCTGGTTGGTTCCCCGCGATCTCCACATCCAATGGGGGTGAGGACCGCAGAGTCGTCATCAGTGTCCGGGCAGAAGGACCTGACACAAGTTTGGAGCTGGAGAAGTGAAACTCGGGACAGGGGATCCCCAGCGCTGGGCTTCCCCCACCCGGACCTCACCGCCCGCCCGCCCGGGACTAAGACTTTGCCTGACCCTGTGCTGCGGTGTCTCTGAGCCAACTGCTCCTCAGGTTCATCAGGATGAGCCGTATGAGCGTGACGTTTCCAGGCAAAATACAGGCAGCGCTTAAAGTGAATGCTCACGGGGACAGGTGCTGTCGCCGTCCCGGTGAGTGTGTGGGCCGTGGGCGCCTGCATGGGAGGTGACTGGAGATTTTATAGCTCCGGTCAAGCCCTTCTGACACACTGTGCCATATGTGACTCTCGGTGCAGGAAGGAGTCCCCTACCCTCCTCTGCTTTCACTTTCTACTTCAGTTATGTGTGGCTGGGATTTGGAGACATCAACCAAAATCCTCAGAAATTAAAAAAATTATAAATATGATTTTTCTTCACACTACTGAACGTAGGATGAAACCTAGAATCCCCAGTGTGTACCTCTGCCATGAGAATCACCCGCTGTCCAGTGTCCACATCGCATAGGCCCGAGGAACCCAGGAGCCAACACAGTTATCAGAAATAGTGTCTCACAAGCCCGTGATAATCATCTCCCTCATCTCATCCGCTCATAAAGTGTGAGTGAAGGTCAGAGAGAGTGTGTTTACGAGAGGGTGGTCACTTCTACTACAGTATCATCATTATTCTCTTTTATAGTTAGTTACAGTTCCTCTCTTACCATGGTTATTCACTAAAGCAACTGTACATGAAAGTGTATGGACACGGAAATGTAGAGTGTAGACAGGGATCAGTGCCCTGCTGCTGTATTTGGTCTTCACGGGGTCTCTGTCCCAGTGGGGAAGGGAGTCTAATGTACTGGAAAATGACCCAGGTCCACACAGACAGTCTCAGGACTGTGGAATGAAGATCCGTGTAAAACACAACCACGAGGAGCCACAGATCATCTGTGAAGAAACTCTCGGAGTCTGAGTATAAACTCAAGGCTATGAAGACTCGATCCTGAATGAAGAGGCAAAGTCTATTCACAGGGCAGGTTCCTGATCATCAGGCTGGGCAGTGTGAGCGCCGCCTGCTGGTGGACACAGGAGCCGGGTGCTGTGGGAGTCTGTGTGGTGCTTGCAGGTCAGAGCCTGTGCAAGTGACTTTATTCTAAAAGAATCCAGGGTCTGACTTCTGAAGAAACACAAGAAGAAGGATGAGGAGAGCATGAAATATTCTGGCCTGTGGCTGTCTCCTGGTGTTTTTGTTTTGTTTTTGAGACAAGATCTGTCTCCTCCCCTCTAGCTGTCCTGAAACTAACTTACTGTGTAGATAGACCAGGCTGGCCTAGAACTCACAGAGATCCATGAGTCTTTGCATCTCATGTCCTGGGATTAAAGGTTTGTGTCAGCACACCTGGCTTTACTTACTTTTCTATGGCTGTGATAAGACACTCTGACCCCAGAAACGTATAAAAGGACTTGTTTAATTTGGTCTTAAGTGTTCATAGGGTTTAAGTCCACGATGGCAGAGGAAAGGAACAGCTGAGTGGTGGCAGCAACAGCTGAAAGCTCACATTTTGATCCACAAGCAAGGGTCAGAGACACTGGTAATAGTGGGAGTCTATTAAAGCCTCAATGCCCAGCCCCAGTGACATACCTCTGATGGGAGATGTCATTTTGTAAATATGTTTCTCTTATTGGTTAATGAATAAATCACTGTTGGCCAATAGGAGAGCAAGATAGGCAGGACTAGGAGACAAGGAGGATTTGGGGGTTGGTAGTAGAAGAGAGTCAACATGTAAGAAACAAGAGAGCAGAGGTCTGGGCCCTTTCTCCAGTAAGACCATGTGGAAATACTTAGATTGATAGAAATGGGTTAATATTTAAGACAGAGCTAGCAAATAAGAAACGCTAGCAACCGGCTAACAGCTTTTTATCTAATACAGCGTCTCTGTGTGTTATTTGGGGCTGGCGCGGCTGTGGGACCAGGCTGGCAGAAAAACCACTGGTAACACACCTCCTCCAACAAAGCCACACCTCCTGATCCTTCCCACACAGTTCCAGCAAGTGGGGCCAAAGTATCTGAGCCTCTGAGCCTGTGTGGCTGTACTCATTCAAACCATCACAGTATTCAGTGTGGAATGTGAGCTGCCCTGCAGGGTTCTGCAGATGTGTCCACTGAGATCCGTAGACAAACACCCTCAAACAGGAGGACCCCACTGCGTTAGGACGTCCCCCCTTCTCCTGTCACCTCCTGCTCAGCCCTTCTGTCTCCTCAGGCCTCACTCGAGCTCTGCATTAACTCTGTCTCTTCCTTTGCATCCAGTTTCTGTAGTGAGCCTTCTTGCTGTGAGCTAGGCTGTGTGGTTTCCTTCTTTAAAAGCCACATTCAGGGCTGGAGAGATGCCTTAGAGATTATGATCATCTGTTGCTGTTGCAGAGGATTCAGGTTCTGTAGTGAGAAATACTGTTTGAGGAGTATCAAGGATTCATTAAGACATGAAAAAAGGGATATGGTAAATCCAGTTGCAGAGTCCTTGGAAATCTGGGGACTGATTACACACTACTTCACATCCAACAAGGTCTTCACCTTCCAAGAGAGCACAATCCCCAGCCCCTTCTTCTTATAAGAGGTCACACACAGACAAGAAGCACTGCCTTTATCAGGCCAGATAGCCCAAGGTCATGAACAGAGGGAATACCCACTATTCTTCCCCCTTTTGTCTAAATAAGAAGGTTCTAAACCTAATATAAAACTATATACAATAAGAACTATTATGAAGTATTATCCAGGAGAAAGAAAAGGTAATAACATACACAAAAGTAGATATACAACCAACAAGAACAATGTCAAGTAAGAAACACATTCTCAATATCCAGGTCATAGGTAGTTGGCAAATAACAGATTATTCCATTAGCTATCTTATCCTGAACAGTCTAAGTCTTGTACTTAATATATCTTAGCTAAGATATGAGATGATAATAACTGTGACTATCTAGTCTTCAACCCCATCAAAGACCTGAGAAGGAAAATAATATTACCTGAGTAAGCAGGAAGTGAAAGCAAGTGACTTCCAAAAGATGCAAGAAATGACAGAAACAGTTGGCTACTGGACAGTCACCCAAAGTCCCTCTGCAATGTTGAGGCAACCGACTTTGGCTATAGGCCTAGAATATCTGACAGATCATTTTCAGAAGCAGGAAAATTAGAAAGACAGTCCTACCTTGTCTTGGCAAGGTTCAACAGTCGATTTTCCTTGTAGTCTGCTTGTCCAGATTGGACAGCATGCTTACTGTCAGCAGTCGAGTCAAGGGAAGTTCTTTTCCTGATAGGCCAGTTTTTTCGAGAAGAAAACAAGCTCCATATGGAGTGTCTTTGGTACCAATTCCTCTTGGGATGAATTGGTGTTGCCAGGAGCAGATGTGTCTCATGTCAATGGGATTCTAAATAATTGAAACATTTAAATGCCATATTCTGTAGGTCTTTGAAGTGTCTGAAGATTACCTATCTATGTGTAGTACACTTCTGTACATCTAGAGAACCTAACTAACATAACTATGACAAACATGGGTGACTATAACCTGTAATTTTTGATAACCTATATAGCTTAAAGAGTAAAGTTTTACAGTATAAAAATGAAAAATCTTTAAGCAGATGTGTGGCATGAGGACAATAACCTCAAAAAATTGTAACATATATATAAAATATCTTGATCAGAGGTAGAAATGTACAGAGCAATATGACAAAAATATCCTTAATTTGTGTCAATGTACAAAACATCTTAAAGAGAAGTAGGAACACAGATACAGTATGTCAAAATAATTTTACATTTGTATGCAAAATAATGTAAACAGGAATAGGAACATACATGATATAACAAATATAACTTTGAATTTGTATCAATATACAAATTATCTTGGGAATACAAAATAATTTTACATATGTATCAATATACAAGAATCTATCAATGTAAATTGTCTAAAACTAATAGTTGCTAAAATAATTTACAAAAAGATACATTAAGGCCATTAAGGCACTTTAATATCCTATCTTATCTATTCCCCCCTTTTCTTTCCAAAAGAGATTCTTGAGTCTAAACTTAATTGTTCCATCCCAACCCTATTACAATTTATAGCCAACCCCTAACAGGTGACAATTATTTATAATCCCAAGAAAACAAAATCTGTTGGCAGAGGGCGCGTTGTTTTCTTAGAATTGCTTCCTGGTATCTTGGGGGTGACAGTATCTCTATGGTAAAAAAAAAAAAAAAAAAAAAAAAACCTAAAATATAGTTAAGTCTCAAAAGGTACCATTTTTGAGCTGTAACATTTGTAGCCAGTTTCTGAGTAGTGGGTAAGGCTTATTTGATGTTGGTTCTAATCTGAATTACTGGCTAGATGTTATAAGAAGGTGGACCACCGCAGCTAGCCAATGTGGAATTGTCTTGAGCAGTTTATAGTCCAAGCTGATCTTTGAGTGGTGCTTATCAGCTTGATGGCATCATAATAAACAGGTAGAATTGTTGTGTGTGCCCCATCTTCCTTCTGGAGACTTCATAGACTGCTGTTAAGAGAATTTATTGTTCACTGTGTAAAACTTAAACATTATTAATATCAAAAAGGAAAGTTTAAATTTTAGGTAGATATTTATACACAGGAAGGTACTGAAGAGATAAAAATAAGTATGGGAATAGAATTCTGGGGAGATAACAGAGTTTTGACAACAATAGTCCCTAGATTTTGTTTTGTTTTGTTTTGTTTTCTTCTGTCGGCACAACAGGTGGCTCTTTTGATATGAGACAGATTTAGAGGAGAGAGCCACACTCCAACTGAATGGTGCTATTATCCGACGTTGACTTTGAAGGGGCTTACAAAGTACAAAAAATAATTGATTATCAATTTAAAGTGTAAAATTTAATA